TGGGTAACAAGAGCGAAACTCCGTCTCAAAAAAAAAAAAAAAAAAAAAAGGTATAAATTATATTGTATGTAAATTATACATCAAAAAAGTTTACTTAAAAAAAATTTCTGTGCTCCAGGATTCTCCTCAGTTTTTAAAAACTTTTTCTCAGTTCAGAAGAGGGTGCCTACCAGCCTAATTGGGAAAAATGTGAAGATCAAAATAAAAATAATAAATTAGCTTGCTCAAGCCCACTCTTACTCTGTAGCATGTATCTTCTTTCCAATAAATCTGTGCTTTCATCACTTCGAAAATAAATAAATTAAAATAGATAATAGATTTTAACAGAATAAAAGATAAAATCATAGATTATATCAAAATATAAAATCAAATAATTGATTATAATAAATAGAATATAATAGAAAATCATAAAGCCACACACCGAGAGATAAATAAATGAATGTATAGATTGAAAGTTTAACAAAGATCAGTATAAAGTATCTCCTCACAAAATATTTATTCTTTACAAAAGGGAAAAGAGTAACTTTAGAATGGAGAAGGCTGACACACACCACCTTTTGTTTTTTTTTTTGAGACAGGGCCTGGCTCTGTCACCCAGGCTGGAGTGCTGTGGCACCATCTTCGCTCACTGAAACGTCTGCTCTTCAGGCTCAAGCAGTCCTCCCACCTCGGCTTCCCAAGTAGCTGGGACTAAGGCATGCACCACATCTGGCCTTCTTCTTTCTTTTGAGACAGACTTTTACCCTTGTTGCCCAGGCTGGAGTGCAATGGCGCAATCTCAGCTCACTGCAACCTCCACTTCCCAGGTTCAAGCAATTCTTCTGCCTCAGCCTCCAAATAACTGGGATTACAGGCATGTGCCACAATGCCTGGCTAATTTTGTGCTTTTTAGTAGAGACAGGGTTTCTCCATGTTGGCCAGGCTGGTCTCGAACTCCTGACCTCAGGTGATCTGCCCACCTCAGCCTTCCAAAGTGCTGGGATTACAGGTGTGAGCCACCGTGCCCGGACTTTTTTTCTTTTTTTTTTTTTTTTTGAGATGGGGTTTCACTTTTTGTTGCACAGACTGGAATGCAATGGCACAATCTCAGCTCACTACAGCCTCTGCTTCCCAGGTTCAAGCGATTCTCTAGCCTAAACCTCCCGAGTAGCTGGGATTACAGGCGTGAGCCACCATGACTGGTGGACACCACCTTAACTGATAAAAGAGATCATCATCATTAATGGGACACATCAAAATCATGTGCCTAATATGGTATCATAACAGCATCACTTCTGTGTTATTCCCACCAAAGACGCATAGTCTGAATCAAATCACAAAGATATGTCAGGCAGACCCCAACTGAGGGGTTATATCTACAAAAAAACTGGCCTGTAATCTTCAAAAGTAACAAGATCACAAAAGTCAAGAGTACTTTAATTCATGTCAAAAACAAAAGGCTGAAAAGCTGCTTCAGACTAAAGGAGGCGGCAGACAGTAACTGCACGTGATTCTGAAGTGAATCCTTTTACTATAGAGGACAGTAGTGGGACAGCTGGTCAATGAGGTCTGAAGATCAGGTTGTAATAACGTTTATCACTGTTAATTTTCTTGCCTTGATGGCTGTATTTTGGTTATATAGAATGTCTTTGCTTGTAGGAAAAAGTGAGTATTTGGGAATGAAGGGGCAACACAGTGAAATATTTGGGGATGATGGGGCATCAGGTCAGCAACTTATTCTCAAGTGAAAAAACAGTTATGTTAGCCAGGCATAGTGGCTCATGCCTGCAATTTCAGCACTTTGGGAGGACGAGGTGGGTGAATCATTTGAGGTCAGGAGTTCGAGACTAGCCTGGCCAACATGGTGAGACCGTCTCTACTAAAAATGCAAAAATTAGCCAGGTGTGGTGACACATGCCTATGATCCGAGCAACTCAAGAGGCTGAGGTAGGAGAATCACTTGAACTCAGGTGTTGGTGGCTACAGTGAGCCAAGATCGAGCTACTACACTCTAGCCTGGGCGACAGAAAGAGACTTGGTCTCCAAAAAAAAAAAAAAAAAAAAAAAATCCTGGGAAGGCCAAGGATTATCATTTTATCCCATTCCCCAATGCAATGGGAGGGGAATATCATAGTAAATTCTATATTCCTCTGAAGTTGACCGTAAAATAGCAAAAAAAAATGGGATCTCAGACACAGCAAACTTGCACAATGCTGTATTTCCTGAAGTATTAAATCCAGCATACGGCAGAGACCTACGTTATTTGGATACTAAATGACCCAATGGGTTAATATATAAGGTAGTTCGATATATGAAAGTAGATCTCTAAAGGGGGCAGTAATATGGTAAAGAGTCCACTGTCACTATATCGAAGACAAGATTCCAGTGTCATAGAGCACAAATAGTTCATATTGCACTTTTTCTAATCACCATTACATCTGGAGTTCCCATTAGCACTCTCAAATAGAAGTCCCAGTTTAAATAATACATTTGGCTTTATTTGACATCATCAAAAAAGTGAACCCAGCTTCTATCACAGATAAATAACGCAGTGATTTTAAAATGGTCAGGCATCCAAATAATCAAGTTATGCTTCATCTTACAGTTTATATCTCAACTTTAACATCAAATCTTAAATTGCATAATGAGAATGACAGGCTCGTAATGTTTCAGATACTAGGATATCGAAGCCGATCTAATTCAGATCTTAACAACAGCACCATATACCACTGTCTGAAACACCAACTCCACCTTGTTTTGAACAAGGCTCTCCACCGATATGATGATGAAAGCACCATAGGACACTGCAGTAATCTAAATGCAGTATAGACCATTTATCTGTGCACTGTCCCATGTGGTGGCCACTAGCCACATGAAACTACTGAAATGTGGCTATTCCAAATTAAAGCATGCTTTATGTATAAAATACACAACAGATTTCAAAGACTTAGTACAAAAAACGTATATGAAGTATCTCAAAGTTTTTTATGCTGATTGCATGTTAAAATTATTATATTTTAGATATACTGGATTAAATATTTATTTATTTTTATTTTTTTGAGACATGCTCACTCTGTCGCCCAGGCTGGAGTGCAGTAGCACGATCTCTGCTCACTGCAACCTCCCAGGTTCAAGCAATTCTCATGCCTCAGCTTCCCAAGGAGCTGGGACTATAGTTGTGTGCCACCACACCTAGCTAGTAGAGACGCGGTTTCGCCATGTTGGCCAGCCTGGCCTCAGACCTCAGGTGATCCACTGGCCTTGGCCTCCCAAAGCACTGGGATTACAGGCATGAGCCACCAACCCAGTTAAAACTAATCCCACAAGTTTCTTCTTTAGTGTGGCTACTAGAACATTTTAAATTACATATGCTTGTGATATAATTCTACTGGCCAGTGCTGCCTTTAGCCATTTGTGAAATAACACCATCATATGCTGTAGAAACTATGAAAGAGAATGTAAGTGGACTTTCCAAAAGAAGACTGAGCTGTACCAAGGTCCAGTTTAACCTTCAAGATCTCATCTTTTCAGGGATAATCTTTGTCTATCTTTTTACACTCCATTCAGCTTCAAGAAAGTACGTATCTGGAGGTACCTGAAACTCTGACGCACTGCTCCGCAGCTGGCTCACATTCGGTAAAGATCCTCCATGGTACTGGGTAAGGCGCAGTTGCTGGAGCTTCTGAAATTGAACCTGGAAACAAAGCAATTTCAAGAACCTTGAGAGGAGACAGCAAAGATTTAAAGGAAGCATCAGAATATAGCACTTTGCAGGGAAACAGTTCAAGAATGAAAGTCTCGGTTTCAATTTCTTCTCTACTTAAATGATCACACTTTCAGGTTTCCGGAGCTTTCTGGGTTTTGATTATTCTGTTTTTGGAAATAGCTTACCCATGTTCCAAATGTCCCACGTACCATCACAGTGACATACTCTTGGAAGGTCTTTGAGTGTGTGTTTAGGCAGGCCTGCATAATCTTTGACAACAATAAAAGAATTTCTGAAAGAAAAACTAGGCTACTATCCATGACCCTAACACATGAACTACGTTCCCTTCTTCATGCTCTTTCCCAGCCTCCATTTACATTTATGGTAATAACTGCATAGCTATGATCATGAGATAGGTACAAGCTAGCATGCTCACATCATAAGGCTTTTCTATGCTACTAAAGAATAATTTTTAGGGCCGGGCGCGGTGGCTCAAGCCTGTAATCCCAGCACTTTGGGAGGCCGAGGCAGGTGGATCACGAGGTCAAGAGATCGAGACCATCCTGGTCAACATGGTGAAACCCCGTCTCTACTAAAAATACCAAAAATCAGCTGGGCATGGTGGCGCGTGCCTGTAATCCCAGCTACTCAGGAGGCTGAGGCAGGAGAATTGCCTGAACCCGGGAGGCGGAGGTTGCGGTGAGCCGAGATCACGCCATTGCACTCCAGCCTGGGTAACAAGAGCGAAACTCTGTCCCAAAAAAAAAAAAAAAAAAGGATAATTTTTAATGGCTATATAACAGTTCTTCTGAATTATTTCCTTAGAACACATTCCAAAGAGTGATTACTAAATCTCTAGATATGGGTCTTTTGGTAGCTCTCAATATATACTGCCAAAATGCTGTCCCAAAGGGTTTCCTAATGTACATACGAGAAAAGTTTCACCAAAAAAACTCACTGACATTGGATATTATCATTAATTGGGGTAAGGAAGGAAGGAGGCAAATTCAGTAGGTATAAAATGGCATCCCACCATTTTAATATGCCCTTCTTCTGTAAGTTCTTCCTTACGTCATTTTTCAAAAAGCAATATATTGGTTACAGTTCTTGTAAACCTCAAAGTGGTCTGATCTGGTCTTTAAGAGTTCTGTTTCTAAAATAATAAATTAGCTCCGTGGTTACATAACCCTTGGCACTGTAATTCATATAGAGAAGAAAAGGGTTATAGATGAGAAGCCTGGGGCAGATTTTCACCCTTCATTACTCTCTGTCTCTACCAACAAAACATGACCAGATCGAAGCCCCTAGGATGGGCCAGGTGCTATTCTGAGACACTGCGCCCACTTCATCCCTAATCCTCCCCACAACCATGCAAATGAGACTGTATTCTCCTGCCATTACAGACCTGGAGACCCAGACTCGAAGTTCAGTGACTTGCCACGTAGCGGGCAGGAAGCTGAGCCACCAAAGCCCATGTGCCTGTTTCTGCCAAGCTCTTCTTTGTCCCATCTTTACCTGAATGATCACACTATTTACCAACTCAAAAAAAAAAAAAATGTGAAGTTTGGTTGACCAAAAGCATTGTTTAACCTACGAAGCTCTCTGATTGCTTCATTTTTATATTTATTATGAAAAATTCCAAATAGTATACGTGAAATAAAGACAAGTATAATGAAACCCCATCTATCCATCTTCTAGCTTTAACAATTACAACTTATATCCAATCTTCTTGAATCTTTTCCCTCTCCACTACCCACAGTGTCCCAGTGAAAGAAGTCTCAGACAGTCTTTCACTCCATATTTCAGTATGTATCTCCAAAAGGTAAGGACTTACACCTGTTTGGAAATTTTAAAGGCATACAAAATCCTTTAGTGGCTTTAACTTCCCTTCTACCTGCTGTATTTGATTTCTCAAACATACCGCACAGGGAGACAGTTAAAACCTATTAATCAAAACCCAACTCTCAGAGCCAAACATGAGAAAGGAAACACTGAGCTTCTTCCATCTAGGGGTGGAGTTACAGGAATGAAGTCTCTCAGCTTTCAATCTTAACATTCTAAAAGTACTTACCAGAAGCATCTGACTATTCTTGAAATTCTCTGGACAAAATTCTCAGCCATCTTGATTTAAAGCCTTTGATTTCTTCTTTGAAGCATCAATTTATCCATTGATTTACTGATACAAAGAACTTAACTGTGTGACTGGTAGTATGCCTGGCACCGGCTAAGATGAAAGTGGGCTGATTTCTGCCTTAGGAGATTTCTCACGAAGGCTCAACTCTTCCCCAAAAACCTTGACACTTCAACCAACCTGGGTTCTAAATCCAGAGAGGGACCTGCCTTCAACTGAGCGGAAGGCCATCTCACAGTCCCCCACAACCACTCTCCCTCCTAAAGCACCGATGTTCAGAGCCTTCAAAGACTGTTAAAAAACAGCACTGGACTTCGAATGGGATGACATGACTTTGTAACCTGGACTCTGACGCCTCCTTCACAAGATGAAGTGAGGATTAAGAGATGCAGACACAACAGCGGTATGTCAAATGCAAAGCTCAGGACAACTTCTCAAGGTACTATGATTATTGCTGATCTTCTCAACTACCTCTTAAAACTGAAACATTCTGACATTTTCCTCTTTTGAACTTTAGACGCATTGAGCTAGAAAAAGAATTCTGAGACTGTCTTCAACACCTTCAAGTTTACAGATGATGAACATGTGAACCAAAGAATGATTAGCCTAAGGCTGAGGTCACCGGCTGGCAGCCCACGAACTGCATTTCACTTCGAGAGAGCTCTGTTTACCCACCAGATGTGGACTCATTCAGTGTTTTAAATTTCAATTGAAAAAAATTAGGACACTGCGGCCGGGCGCGGTGGCTCAAGCCTGTAATCCCAGCACTTTGGGAGGCCGAGGCGGGTGGATCACGAGGTCAAGAGATCAAGACCATCCTGGTCAACATGGTGAAACCCC